TATATATATATATTTATTTATATACACAAACGGAATATAATGCATGATATGTGTACTTATAAATTTGTGCAATATAATACAGAATTATAGAATAAGAAACCTATAACAAAAATAATAGAATTAATAAAATATAATAAAGGATAAATAACATTTTTATAGACAAGCAATGCGGCTGGCGCTTTGCTGTACTATATTGCAAATAATAAGGAGAAACAAGATAAATTACGAGAAGAAGTAATGTCTGTGTTACCTGACAAAACAACACCCATTACACATGATCTTTTGGAAAAGATACCGTACGTTAGGGGATGTATTAAAGAATGTATGCGGTTATTTCCCATCGCCAATGGCATTCTAAGAAATATGCCGAAAGATGTTTCTTTAGGAGGATACTTGATACCAAAAGGAGTACGTCGTTTTTTCTAGTATTTTTCTAAATTACCCAGTTTAAGACGTGTCAATATTTTATTAATTCTAATATTAAAATATTTTTGATGAGGTATTAAAAAAATAAAAATATGCATTGAAAAAAGATTTGGTTAAAAAGTTTAACAATGTCATTGTAATAAATAACTGTAGAGAATTTTAATTTTTTTTACAAAATTTTAAGTCGATTTTTTGTCAAATTTAATTCAATATCATCTGTTTTCATTATTGATATCTAAACTTTAAATATTTATTCCATCAAATTTCTATTAAAAATTTTGCTTTAAATTAAACGAAAAATAAGATTTAGATGCTTCAGTAAACAAACATAAAATATTGTTTGCAAACATAAATATTGTCAAGCAATTGACTATTGAATACATTAACTCTGAAAGTTTTTTTCTATAGTTAATTGTTTGATATTGGATCTATATTTGTTCTTTGTTGGAAATATAAGTTATCTATTAATATTAATAAGTTATCTATTAATCTTTTGAAGCTTATAATTAGTTCATAATCTCATTTTAAATAGGTTCTCATTTTAAATTTCATTTTATAATTCTCTATTTCACAAAACATAAATGAAATTTTATGTTATGAAATAATGAAATAAGATTGCATTCTTCATAATTTCTTTCTTCATATCATCAGGCGAATGTGATGGCTTGTCACGCAGTGCTTTCGATGGATCCTAAGTATTTTGCGCGTCCTATGGAGTATATTCCTGAAAGATGGATACGGGATAGTCCCGAATTTTTATTATATAGGAGTACGCATACCCACGCATACATGCCTTTCGGTTACGGTGTTCGCGCTTGTATTGGACAAAGATTCGCTGAGATGGAGCTCGAGATGTTACTCTTGAAAGTTTGTAAACTTTTATTTTTTAAATAATTTTTAACTATTAATAATTTCTAAATTAAATAGCATCTTAATGATTGTGATAAATTCTGATGATAAATTCTAAAAGACTAAACAAATCTCTCTAACTCCGTTTTTTTGGTCGTTACGTCCGCAAATTAAGAATTCCAAAGTATAATTCTCCACATCCTACTTTACACACGTGTGTAGTAATTTAAGATAGAAATAATTACATCTGTTTATATATAT